CTCCCCTGTCTCACCCCTGTCACTCTTGTCTCACACCTGTCACACCTGTCTCACACCTGTCTCACACCTGTCACACTTGTCTCACACCTGTCACACCTGTCTCACACCTGTCTCACACCTGTCTCACCTGTATCACACCTGTCACACCTGTGCAGGAGCTGAAGGGGACCCTGGCCCAGGAGTTGGATTTCGAGAACGAGGCGCGGAACTCGGAGCGCTGCGGGCGGGACCTGGAACACCTGAGGGGGGTGACGGTACCCAGGGTGCACTGGGAGCACTGCAGCAAGGTGAGACACACCTGGGGACACCTGAGGTACACCTGTACATAGCTGGGTACAGCTGGGGACACACCTGGAACACCTGAGGGGGGTGACGGTACCCAGGGTGCACTGGGAGCACTGCAGCAAGGTGAGACACACCTGGGGACACACCTGGGGATACCTGGGGATACCTGAGATACACCTGTACACACCTGGGGACAGCTGGGGACACACCTGGAACACCTGGGGATACACCTGGGGATACCTGGGGACACCTGGGGACACACCTGGGGACACCTGGGGATACACCTGGGGATACCTGGGGATACACCTGGGGATACCTGGGGACACCTGGGGACACAGCTGGGGACACCTGGGGATACACCTGGGGATACCTGGGGACACCTGGGGACACAGCTGGGGACACCTGGACACACCTGGGTACAGCTGGCGACACACCTGGGGACACACCTGGAACACCTGAGGGGGGTGACGGTACCCAGGGTGCACTGGGACCATTGCAGCAAGGTGAGATACACCTGAGATACACCTGTACCCACCTGGGGATACACCTGGGGACACACCTGGGGACACCTGAGATACACCTGTACCCACCTGGGGACACCTGGGGACACCTGGGGGCACCTGGGGATACACCTGAGACACACCTGGGGACACCTGGGTACACCTGAGACACACCTGGGGACACCTGGGTACACCTGAGGACACCTGGGGACACCTGGACACACCTGGGGGATACCTGGGGACACCTGGGGGACAGCTGGTGACACCTGTCCTGCCTGTTTCTCTCACCTGTATCATTCACTTGTCTGTCTCACCTGTGCTCACCTGCCTCACCTGTCCCTCACCTATATCTTGCTTGTTCCTCACCTGTCTCACTCACCTTTCCCATGTCACCTGTCCCTCACCTGCCTCTCACGTGTATCTCATGTCTCGCCTGTCTCACACCTGTATCTCATCTGTGTGTCTCACCTGTCTCACACTTGTCTGTCTCACCTGTCCCATCTCACCTGTATCTCCCGTCTCTCATCTGTGTCCCTCACCTGTCTCACCTGTATCTGTCTCCTGTCTCTCACCTGTCTCACACCTGTCTCACCTGTGTCTCACCTGTCCCACCTGTCTCACTTGTCCCTCACCTGTCTCACCTGTGTCTCACCTGTGTCTCACCTGTGTCTCACCTGTGTCTCACCTGTCCCACCTGTTCCATCTCACTTGTCTCATCTGTCTCACCTGTCTCTCGCCTGGGTCTCACTTCTGTCTCACCTGTCTCTCACCTGTCTCACTCATCTGTCTCAGCTGTCTCTCCTCTGTGTGTCTCTCCCGTCTCTCACCTGTCTCACTCATCTGTCTCACCTGTGTCTCACCTGTCTCACTCATCTGTCTCAGCTTTCTCTCCTCTGTGTGTCTCTCCCGTCTCACACCTGTCTCACCTGTCCCTTCTCACCTGTCTCACCTGCCCCATCTCATCTGTCCCATCTCATCTGTCTGTCTCACCTGTATCTCACCTGTCTCACCTGTCCCTTCTCACCTGTCTCACCTCTCACCTGTCTCATCTGTATCTCACCTGTCTCATCTGTATCTCACCTGTCTCACCTGTCTCATCTGCATCTCACCTGTCTCACCTGTCTCACCTGTATCTCACCTGTCCCTCACCTGTCTCACCTGTATCTCACCTGTCCCTCACCTGTCTCACCTGTATCTCACCTGTCCCTCACCTGTCTCACCTGTA